TATTTAGTCTCTATTTAGTCTCTATTTTGTGTCTGTATTTAGTATTTTTATTTAGTCTGTATTTAGTCTCTTTATTAAGTCTCTTTATTTAGTCTCTGTATATAGTCTATTTATGTAGTCTCTATTTAGTCTCTATTTAGTCTCTATTTTGTGTATGTATTTAGTTTTTTTATTTAGTCTCTTTATTAAGTCTCTATGTAGTCTCTTCATTTAGGCTCTTTATTTAGTTTCTGTATTTAGTCTCTTTATTTAGTCTCTGCATTTAGTCTCTATATTTATTCTGTTTTTTTAATCTTTTTATTTAGTGTCTGTTTTTAGTCTCTGCATTCAGTCTCTGTATTTAGTCTCTTTATCTAGTCTCTGTATTTACTCTTTTTTTAATCTTTTCATTTAGTCTCTGTTTTTAGTCTCTGTATTTAGTCTCTGTATTTAGTCTCTGTTTTTAGTCTGTGTATTTAGTGTCTGTATTTAGTCTCTTTTCTTTGTTCTTCATATTGGATCATTTTCCATTTTGATTTATTCTTAATTCCATTGTTGACAATAATGTTTGTTAGTTGTGGTTTTGTCTGTTTCTGGGATTCATGTCTGGGACCAGTGAGCTGCTACACTCCTTGGGTCTGTTTTCAGTGATCCATCTGTTTTATTAGATTTAACTATTTCTATATTTTAACACTTCCTGGTGCTGAGTGAACCACAGTGATGATGTCATAAATCAAGTGTTGTACATCAATGTAAAATTACAGATGTGTAATATAAAAGAGATGTGTTTGTGTTGTTTGTTGTTGTGAATGATTCAAAACAACGCAAAAGCACTGAACGTGTTTGTGTTGTTTTGACGTCCTTGCAGTGTTTCCAGTCCCGGTGCAGAACGGCTCCCTGCATCAGAAGGACTCTGTGCATGAGAACGACTTCGAGCCGTACCTCAGTAGTCAGTCCAGTCAGGTAGGAGCTTCAGGATATTTTAACACTAAATCGATTCTTTCCCTCAGAATTTACCTTTAATTTCTCATTTGTTGCAGAATAACAGCTATCAGTCCATGACAGATCCTTACCTGTCCAGCTACTACGCCCCCTCTATCGGATTCCCGTACCCCCTCAATGAGGCCCCGTGGTCTACAGGAGGTGACCCACCGATCCCCTACCTGGCACCATATGCCCCCCTCAATAACGGAGACCATCATTTCATGCCTGACACGGTGTTTGGGCAGCCTGGGGGGCTGAGCAGCAGCATTTATCCACACAGATTCAACTTTTTCCCAGAGAATCCGGCGTTCTCGGCATGGGGCACCAGCGGTTCTCAGGGCCAGCAGACTCAGAGTTCAGCCTACGGGGGCAGCTACAGCTACCCACCCAGCTCTCTGGGAGGCACGTTGGTCCCTGATGGTCAGACCGGTTTCCACAGCGACACCCTGAGCAAGGCGCCAGGCATGAACAGCCTGGAGCAGGGCATGCTGGGCCTAAAGATGGGTGGGGATGTGACGGGAAGTGGCTCGGGTGTGAAGAGTGCAGGCTCGGTGATCGGTGGCGGTGTCGCTGTAGCTGCTGCCACAGGCAACAGTGGCGTTCCAGTCGGAATGCCCCCTCAGAAATCTACATCGTGGGCGGCCATTGCTAGTAAACCTGCTAAGCTGCAGCAACAGAAGACGAAGAACAAGCCATTTGCTCCTTCAGCAGGAGGAGTTCTGCCTCCTCCACTTAAACACAACATGGACATGGATACCTGGGATCATAAAGGCATCGCCGCCAAGATGGCCACTCCATTACCTCACCAACAGATTCACTCCCACGTTCAGAGCCTCATTCCCCCCCTCCAGCAGTCCCTGCAGTCTGCCCAGTCCCTCGTGCAGCAGATGACCATGCAGGGTCCGGCACCGCCACATTCTTACCAGAACCACAACTCTGCTCCTGCACCTCAGGCCCGGTGGGTAGCTCCACGCAACCGCAACTTGTGCTACAGCGGCGGCAGCCTGGACAGCACCAGCTCCTCCAACAGCGGCGGTGTGGGTATGGGCGTACCTTCAGAACTGGGACCAGAATCCCATCCTGTGCTGGACAAGCTGCGAGCGTCACACAGCTACAACCCCAAGGACTTTGAGTGGAGCCTGAAAAATGGCCGTGTGTTCATCATCAAGAGCTACTCGGAGGACGACATCCACCGCTCCATCAAGTACTCCATCTGGTGCAGCACGGAGCACGGCAACAAGCGCTTGGACTCGGCCTACCGGGCCATGAACTCTAAAGGTCCTGTCTACCTGTTGTTCAGCGTGAACGGCAGCGGTCATTTCTGCGGCGTGGCCGAGATGTGCTCTCCTGTGGACTACGGCACCAGCGCCGGAGTCTGGGCCCAGGACAAGTGGAAGGGCAAGTTTGACGTGAACTGGTTGTTTGTTAAAGATGTCCCGAACAGCCAGCTGCGCCACATCCGTCTGGAAAACAACGACAACAAGCCGGTCACCAACTCGCGCGACACGCAGGAGGTTCCTTTGGAAAAAGCCAAGCAGGTGCTGAAGATTATTGCCCAGTACAAACACAGCACGTCCATATTTGATGACTTCTCTCACTACGAGAAGAAGCAGGAGGAGGACGAGGTGGTCAAGAAGGTAACTACCGATAATCACTGTAAAACTTAATAAAATCAAGTTTATATCTTCTTTTAGTACAATATTTTTATTATTAAAGATCATGTCAGATACATTTAAAGTCCAGTTTTAATCAAAGCATGCAAACGTGCCAGAATTAAGTTTAAACGATGGATCTGCCTTTTGTTGCAGTTCATTTAATCAATAACTGATCGGATTCAGATTTTTATATTCAGGCACGTGGACGAGGTGAATTTTACAGAAATACTGAATAATTCGACACTAAAATGAAATGTCTCTGAAATCACCTGTGTGTCATTTAGGATCATTTTTTAACAGTTTATCCGTCTTTGATCTTTAAATGTTTGCAATAATTATTACTTTCAGTTGATCTGACGATGAGAAATGAGAGTTCTTGAAGTTATTTGAGCTCATGCGTGTTTTATGGCTCAGTTTGTTTTGTGAATGTTTGATCCATTTAAACTCAATAACTGATCAATTTGGAGCCATTTCTGTGTTTGCTAAGGACGGACGGCTGCGGCAGCTGTTTTGAATTGGGGACGTACATCAAATTATTATTTTCTGATTTTTCATTCAAATCCGTCCCGTGAGTCGAGATATTTTTAATCAGTCTTTGTATTGGATTTTTTTTCTTTTTAGAACAAACACTAAAAAGAGAAGAAAAAAACACACAACAAAATCCCCTCCCACCCCAGGTCAGAAAGGCATTGACATACTTTCAACATAAGACATAAATGGCTGCCAAGTGTCCCAACAGATCCCCTCACAGTACTGTATATCTGATCTTTACCAAGCATGACATAAAGTCTCTTATCCAGTGTTCATAAGCCGGGGGATGAAGATCCTTCAATCTGCATAGAATAAGTCTTCAGGCTAAAAGAGAGCCTAAAGCAATCACATCCATCTCATACTTGCTGAAGGACGTATCCACAGGGGCCGCCCCAAACAGTGAGATGAATAGTGACGGGTGCACAGTTTTTCCACATATCCCAGAAAATAGACTGCCAATAACCCCGAAGCTGTGGACAAGTCCAGAATGTGTGTAAGAGCGTAGCTGGAGTTTGTTTACAGTGGTTACATGCAGGATCCAGGTCAGTTTTATTAATGGACAGTTTGTCTTTGGACCAATGCAGAAGGTGCACCACCTTGAATTGAATCACAGCGTGTCTCAGACAGATTGAGGATGAGTAAATGTTCTGCATGATCTTTCACCAGACTGAGTCTGATATGAATTCCTCCAAGTCTGTTTCCCATTTCAGTCCAAGCTGGTCTCATGGTATGAACTGAGCAGTGTGTAGATGTTGCTCAGGGTCACTTTAGTGTCAGACCTGCACTACAAAAACCTTAACCACAAACTGTTCAAAGGAAAACAATCAGAGTTAGACCTCAAAAAATGTCTCAGCTGTAAATATCTAAAAAAAAATGTGACTTGTAGATGTTAAACTTCTGTACCAGCTGCTCAAATGAGGCAAATTTATCATCAACATGGAGATAACGTGAACATACTCCTCTCAAGACCCAAGTGTCAAAAGCTGTATCAGTTAATGAAGGAGTAAACATTTGACACAGATGCCACAAACAGTAACTCTGTAGAAGTAAATGTCCTCCTGAACTGATTCCAGATCTTTACTGTCCAGATCACAACTGGGTTAAAAGTGTATGTTGATAGTGGTTGTTTAAAAGGCAGACGACAACAGAGTAATGCAGAAGGGGAGCTGGATCTAATTGAGACCCTTTCCAAAGCCACCCAACTGGGAGAGGGGGTAGAATCCTAGAGCTCTGACATTAGCTGCCCATAATGGTGCATGAAGTTAGGGAGTGACATGCCTCCAAGCCTGCGGGGCAAATGTAAGATCTTCCTGGAAAACTGTGGATGCTTTTTATTCCAAATCAACACTGATGGCTGTCTGTTCAGATGAGAAGAATGATTTAGTGAGGAAGATTGTCAGGCTCTGAAACAGATACAGATATTTAGGCAGAACATTAATTTTGACATTTCTGCCTCCCCAGGGTGTGAGGTAGAAATTGCCATCTAACAATGTCCTGCTTAAGGTTCGTTAAGAGAGATCAATAATTAGTTTTAGAGGTTCATATAGTCTCGTGGGACCCAAACGCCAAGGTATTTACATTTTTTTAAACTATTTTTAAAAGGTAAAGTGTCTAAAATTTTATTTTCTATTGAAGTCACGGGCATCTTTTGAAGATTAACCTTATAGCCAGATGTTCTCCCGAATTTTTTTGAAGCAAAGCAAATAACTCAAGAATGCTGGTGAGAGGATCTGATGTATACAAAAGCATGTCATCAGCAAATAAAGTACCTTATCGATTTATTCAATTCAATTCAGTTTATTTATATAGCGCCAAATCACAACAAAGTTGTCTCAGGGCACTTTACAGGAACATTCACATACATAGAAAAACCAATTAGTAAAGTTCTGTATCTAAGGAAGCAGCAGACCTTAATGATGGAGTTTTGCCGTGGAGCTACAGCTAGCGGTTCTATCGCTAACACAAATAGAAGCGGTGAGAGCGGACACTCCTGTCTGGTACCTCATGCAGTTCGAAGTAACTGGATATGTTACATTTAGTGCGTACTGCTGCCATTGGGCAGGTATATATCTCAACTTCACCCATGATATGAATTTGGGACCGAATTTAAATAAATTTAAAGTCTTGAGGAGATGACCACCCGGTCAAATGTCTTCTCAGCTTCCAGTGAGAGAAGAGCTTGGTCACAGGTGTGATCGGGCCGACTAGGAGTGAACATCGCACTGAGCAGCGCCTAATGTTGAAGAAAGCCCGACGGTTTTTAGTTGAGATTTTTTCCAGTCTTTATTGATTTTATTTATTTTTGAACATGCAAACAAAAAGAACACAAAGAAGAAAAAACCCTGTTGAGAGATATTTTAACTAAAAAATAAACTCATTTTGTCTTTTGGGTGTTCATTAAATCCATTAAGCATTAAAGCAGAATTGAAGTACCATATGTTTAATTTAGTTTCTGGTTATGTAGTTCGATAATTTTACAAATGTATCAAATCTTCGGTTTTCTCTGGGGGTGTTAAATTAAAGCTTTCTGTGTATAATTACTTGTTTTTTGTTGTTTCTCACAGAGTTATGAGCCTGTTTCAATACAAAGTCGATCCAGAACCGATCAGGTAAAGTTCCATATTTTCACTTAAAATAAAACGCATTTAGAACATTTATCATTAAAACTGTACAAGAGGTACATTTTGTGTTACTTTGTCAGCTTGGATTGGGATGAAGCCGTTTGTTCTGGACTCCGGTCCTGCTGTGTCAGTTTATGAGTAAAGATTATTTCATCTTTTTTTTAATTTTCCATCTCTTTCAGGATCGTCAGAAGTGAAGTGTCTGAGATCGACGCGTGTGTTTGGGTTGAAATGATGACATTAAGGACATAATGAAATAAAAATACTTTTTTTAATTTAATTTTCACCACTTTGGCCCGTACGAAACTTTCTCTGGTTACTTTGTAACGCGTGCAGGGATGAAACTACCGGTAGTTCAACCGTTTCAATAACATTGTAGTTTTCAGTCTTTTTTAAATCTCTACTGCTGCCCTGGAGTTGAGAAACTCAGCTCCGTGGAAGGACGTGCACGTGTGTTTGTGCACGTGTGTTTGGGACAACAAGCTGCTGGTGTTCACGTTGTGGTTTGTGTGAAGTAACGGTTAATCTTAACGAGTGCACACTTTTCTGACAAACGTCTGCTCTGTCTTTATATCATTAGGACACAATCATTTTAATTGTTTTTATCATTTGAGGAAAATTTTACTTTGAAAAACTACGAGTTTGTTTCTGCACAAATATAAAAGTGAGAAGCTGCGGCATCCCTGAACCCAGAATATATCTAATTCACTTAATTAAATTCAATGTTTGGAACTCTGAACTGTCCCTAGGTGTGAATAGTTGTCTCATTTGTCCCTGTGATAGACAAGAGACCTGTCCAGGTGTCCTCTGCTGGAGACTTGTCCAGGTGTCCTCTGCTGGAGACCTGTCCAGGTGTCCTCTGCTGGAGACTTGTCCAGGTGTCCTCTGCTGGGGACCTGTCCAGGTGTCCTCTGCTGG